AGCACATTCACAAAGCTATTTAAAGCCCGATCAAAATCATTAGCCTACTTGAACTGTTATTAGGAACTCTTTGGTGCTCTTCGGACATCTACAGCATAAATAAACCTGGCTCAAGTCTTTTCTTCCCTTAATGGTTTACATGTGAGAACAGCTAATGACCCACCTTTAAGCAGTGCTCATGCAGTCAGTGTATATACTGTAGGCAGGGTGGGCCGCCGAGGTCCCTGCAGAAATAATCCTGTTTCCTTGTTGATTCGTTTGTTTGTTTGTGTGTTTGCTTGAAGAGATAAACTTAAAGGAGGGATTCTTTTGGAACAATTAGACACTAAATACCCAGAACCTGTTAACACGCACACTCACACATGTACATACACCGGGCAGGCCAGGATCATGGACAAATCGAAATGCAACAAATTCCAATGCGGACATAAAAGATGTCCGGAAGCTAAAGAGTAACTACATATTCACGTCTGAAGCCACACAAAAGCCACAGGGAAATCATCAGAGATCACTATGCTGAGAGATCAGAGAACTGGAAGTGAAGTGGACACATGGCCTCAGGTAATGGGCCTAAATGATTTTAAGTGAAGTGCAGTTAAAAGGGTGAGAGCTTTGGCACACAGGCCACGTTTTCTAATTACCAAACCACATTAAAGGGCCTGATTGGATTACAGCACGGGACCCAGTGCTCTGTGATCCTGAAAGATGCTGCTGCACCAACAGAGGGACGGTGAGCCCTGGAGTGCCAAGGCAAAACAAAGCCCAAGACATGTCACTTAAACCAAATCCAATATGGCCAGGCCTCATTGAAAGCATGTGCACCAGTCTGTCTATAACTGTAATTCTAACTTTCAGAGCGTATAATGAAATAAGGTGAGCGAGCCTCATTACTTTGTTGCTGTTCCAAAATTACTGTCATATACTTTCATGTCTATAGCCAAAAATAGAGTGAGTATAGACAATTTACTTAGTTTTCGCTCCAGATCAGTCCACAAGAAAACATTTTTCTCCAAATTTCAGTAGTTGGTTTCAGATTAAAAAAGTAGAAAAAAAAAGATCACTAAGGTTAAAGTCATGTGTTTGTTCACCTTAATAAAAGTTGAATTTCAGTACACTCAAATGACTGAAATCACACTTTTATTTGTTATTAGTTTTGAAATGTAAATGAGTGAGTAGTGAGTACTGAGAGTCAGTATTGTTGTTTTAATAATAATAATAAAAAATTGTTAGGTTCACTTAACCAGAGTTTGGTCAACACAATCTTAAAAAAACCAACAACTTATACATCTGCATATTGAATAGTCTTTTCTCCTCATTTTACTTACACTGAGTGTTGTCCTACCATCCAGCATACGTTACATGTGTTGTGCATTTTTTCCTGATCTTTGGTTAACCGCCTAGTATTGTAGGCCATAAAAGACCATGTGAGCAGAGTTAAATACCAGCTAGACATCACAGTAACAACTTTCACGATGTATATCTAACTTTAATTGAACTGTGAACTTGTATTAGTTCTAGGGCTGCAATGAATATTCAATAAAATCTTTAACAATCTGATAGGGAAACATGTTTTGTCAGCAATAGCATGTGATAGCAGCATATCTAAAGAGAGCAAGCTAATCTGCCTGCATGTCATGCAAAAATAACAATTTATAGCCTTTTTTCATGTCAGTTTGGTGGTTCTTTGCTGTCGAATGTCAGTCATGCTCAAACAATAACTGTTTTATTAGAGGTTTTTTTTTTCCATTATCTTGTGGTATTTCAGGATTCATAAAGAAATTATAGTAATAGTAAAACAAGAGCAACAATGATACTAATAACTACAATATCAACATCAACAAATACATACATACATCATCTAAACCGCTTATCGTTCTGGGTCGCGGTGGGGTGCTGGAGCCTATCCCAGCTGTCATTGGGCGGAAGGCAGGAAACACCCTGGACAGGTCACATCAACAAATAATAAATAATTTTTCATTTAAGCATTAAAGTGAAACCCATTTTGAGCTCTGCTTATTCTTATAGTATAACATTCAATGATGCAAATAAATCACCACTTTTCACTCAAATCACTTTTGTGTGATTTCATCGTGTACAGATTACTCACTGATGTGTCTAAGAAGCTACTCAACTTAGCTACATAACCGTTTTGTGGAACCACTTGGCGAATCATTTCTAAGTAAATTTCAAGTAATTCAGTTGAATAAGTTACATTTACTGATAGCTAACTTGCTAACTCTTGTTAGCCAGTGGTTTTGTTCTTCTAGCTAATGACTGTAGTTAGCTATTTTAGCTAGCTACTTTGATAGCAGGCTCTCATTTCTGCTATGGCAACTTAATGTAAATGTTTTGTGTTGACACTTTTTATTCAGAAATGTTGCTATTAGTGCTGCTAGTCTAGCTAATCTTACATTTGTTCAGTCTGCCTTTCCATGGTTGACCCACCTATAATTATCACAGTAACCAGCAGCCGCTAAGCTAGTCATTTTGAGATCCAACAAACCTTAACTTACAAGCAACGAGTGGATTTGCCAGTTATCAAGGTCACAATTGTCAAGGTTGTCAAGGTCAGGAGCAGATTTAGAGATTCTGTGGCTCTAGGTAAAAGAAAAGAAATGGGGCCCAGCAGGTATACATTTTTAAATTAGTTGAGATTCGGGGCTCCCGAGTTGCACAGCCAACTACGCTGCAATAATGTCTAGTCAATCTAGTCAATATATCCAATAATTCTTATTTTAGGATTGCTGTAAGAATATTATTAGATTATTTAGCATATTCCTAGACTATTTTTACCTAGGTAATTATGTCACTATACTGGCAGATAATTTGTCTTATTTTAAGAAATATGCTTGAAACAAACAAAATTACATGTCAATATAGTAAGATAATTTGATACAGAGCAATGTAGAAATAAAGTAAGGAGTAGTGAGATTATGTTTTCCATAAGGTAATAAGTAACATAATCCCATTACAGCTTGGCAGAAGTAATTAGTAACTTGTGGTTGATTATTTTGAGTAATTACCCCAACACTGGAGCTATCTATACTGACAATAACAATAGCATTATGTATAGTCTACTGAGCCTGTGCAGGGCTCTGTCCTGACTGAAAAAACATAATTAGCTTTGAGACTAAAGTGACAAACTTTTTGCTTTCCTCTACATTTTTGTGTTTCTCTGCTTGGATAACTTTATTTCACTGACTCTCTCAACACCTGGAAAAACACACCGAAAAATCTCCTCTCAAAATGTAGATTATTGCCTAATTGCCTGCTTCACACCAGCTTGTCTTTACACAGTAGAGTCATTACATAACAACATGGAATAGTCCATTATAACCATGACCGGGGGGGTACACTGCCAGTACTGAAAATAATCGCTAGAATCACACAGAACAGCTGTTTTTAAGATGTGTACATATTTTGGAATAGGTTATTTAACAAGAACCCATATAGCATCTCATTTGTATTTTCATGGGGCCCTTGGCTCATGAGGCCCTAGGTGGCTGCCTACCTTTGCCTAAGGCAAAGACTGGCCCTGGTCAAGGTCATAAATAAACAGTGCTACTTCAGTGCAGTGTATCTTTTCTTTAAAAATGTTTCTCTCTCTTAGTTGGTTGATTCACAACAAGAACAGATTCAGGTTGTAGAACTTCTCATCTAAGCACTGTCACAATATACTGATGGAACTGTAATCTTTGGGTATTCAGTAATCAGCATTTGCTATCAGTAATCAGTAATGGACATTTGCTACCAGGCAACAATTGCCCGAGCATGTTACACATACCACTACGAGAAAATGCACTGACATTCAAGGGTCATTTTCACTTGTACCAGGACGCACCAGGTCCAGTAGCCAAGTATCTCCTTTTTCCTCCAAGCAGAAAAGCAGAAACAATCCATCCCACTACTGTTTATGAGTAAAGCTAACCTTCCAGGCAGATAAGGAGACAACATGCTCTAACGTCTGAAATCTGAGTGAGAGCCCGTTTCATACAAAGAACGGACGAACTGGTCCAGATGAGAGGGGCAGATACAAGCTCTCAGGTAGCTCTGAACCTGGGACATAAAGAATAGAGATTCCAGACTTTTTTGTCAACTCAAACACAATCTTCATTGTCAGACTGCTTTGGTACTAGTGTGGTTAAAGTGAAGCTCTGTTTTGCAGCTTTGTAAATTCAACTACGCTTCCTGGACGTCCTGCCAGCTTTTCTTATTTTGTTTTCCATTTCCAAAGCCTTTGAGGAACATTGCCAAACTGATTTAGATAATGCTGCTTTCAAGTGCAAAACGGGAGGTAGTTTTCACAGAGGAGGAACTTGTTCACCTTACCGAGTTATGTTTGCGTGGTTCGTGTAGGACACAAACACAGAGGGTGTGAAATGGTTGTTGTACCTTACTAACTAGCAATCAGCTGGCCTTTTTATCTTATTTATGGGTAATGCTTCCATTTTACATTCTACAGTCAACTGACTGCATGTAATATGATCATTACTGTGTTTTGACACATGTAACTTAAGCATTTCATTGTTTTCTAGCTAAAAACTTTGAGTAGCCTTGGTTATTGTGTAAGAATAAGCCATTGTCTCATGGAGGGTCAAGTGTAATCCTAGAAATTAACGTGCAGGTGCATGCGGTCACATGCACATGCTGTGTTTTGTGCTGGTTTCTAAGCACAGGGTTGGAACTCTAACTCAGCAGAGCAAGCGCTAATACAAACACATTTGTATTACTGTCTTTATGGGGGCACTGTAAACTGTATATTAGTGAACACTGCTTCACCTTAGTTCAACCTCTATGACTGAATGTAAATACTGAACGTTTCTTTACTGGAGTGGATAGGAATATGTCCTAACATCACAATGTTAGAATCACATGTTTGTATCATTGTGATTAAGTGTAGGCATAGCAGTATTTATCCCAGCAAAGAGATTAAAACAAAGTTCACACCCACCCACATGCACACACACAACTTTCACCCCCTGGGAATATGCGAGTGTGTTTCTCAGTAAAGGTACAGGTGGGTTGGTACTCTCGCACACTCTTGCCCAATCCGGCCTCTGCTGCCAGTTAAGCTCGAGTGTCCTGCTTTCACGTCCTCACTCCACACAAACTCAGCAGGGAAGAGGGACAGAGCAGGTAAGACACTTCTAATCCTCTTAGCTGATTAGGATCTCAGGTATCTCAGGAGTCCAGACACAGTTTGTGCTTTTAAGTCTATGAAAACAGAACCATTTATTTGAGGGACATTGCGAGGACATGAATTGAGACAAATCAGCCGAGCAATGAAACTGTCCCAAGCATCAAATTTGGCCAAACAATCTAGAACCATGACCATATTAAGCTGTGGATTGTGGGTGTGTGGCACTAGGGCAGAAAATGCGAGGTGTGGTTAGGACTCTCGGGCCTGGCTTCCGACACCCTTTCTCCATTCTGTGCGCCTGCGGTTCCCCTTTTCCTGTTGGAGTCAGGCAGGGATCAAATGTGGTGTGTGGGTGTGTGGAGATAAAGCACCCGCTGGGTGGGTCGGAGGGCCAACAGAAGGAAGGGCTGGAACCGGGTAAGAGGGACACTTGAGCCAGTGAGGGAGGAGATGCTTTATGCAAGAGCCCCTTGAACGTGAATGACATTGGAATAGGCTGTAATCTGAGGCATGTGATCACAGGAACCGAATCATACAGCCCGACAAGTGCAATCTGCTGACAACAGATGGCTGTCATGGATATCAGATCAAGATTAGATTCTTAAAAAGTGAGAGGTTGGGGGTGAGGCCCGCTGAGTCTGATAAACTTAAGATGAACAGGAAACTGTGAAGATCAAAGGCTGGATTACTATTACTATTAACATAGATGGAGGAAATGACAATGGAAACTATGTAAAATTATAAATTTAACTGAAACCAGATGGTCCCTCATTCGCAACTACATATCTGAATAATCAGTCTGCACTTTAAGGAGGTAAAGAGTCTTTTGGTAAACACTTCTTTTTTTGTCATTCGAGCCCCTCAAACTTTTTGACAGACGTAGAAAGTTCATAGTTTCATAAAATCTCACGATTTCAAATTCCTAAAAATGCCACAAACCAGCTCACAGAAAAACCCCAATAAGTTCTGAATTGTTACGGTAAGAGCTGGGGTGGGGTTGGCATTCATAATTGTTTGCATTACCAACATTCTTTCTGGTACCATTCATGAGATTTTCATATTTCCAACAAACACTGTGTGAGAGCAGGTGTCAAACACAATCTCTTTTATTCCTATTGCTCTTTTTTTCACTGCCAACATCAAGTATGTTGGTAATTGTAGAGGGACCCGTAATGGACATCAGCATTTTAGCCTCTAGCAGAGGCAGGAGCACTGACCAAGAGGTATGTGCGCTTTACCTCACGCACAACTCAGTCCCTTACAGTCTCCTCCAAGCCATGGTTACACAACCTTCAACTTTGCTAAACTTAGCTCTTCCGTTCCAGTCCGTAGGATCCCTTAATGGAGTTGGTGAAACTTTAGCTAAATAATATACACTAGACTTCTAGTGCACAGAAACAGTGAAGGTCAGAATGGGTGAATAAAGACCTAAGGCAAAACAGAAAAAAAAAATGACCTGATCTCCACACGGGATGGTCTCGTCCCAGTGAACCCTGAATGGCTGGAAGAATGTTATTTGCTTAAAGTGGGCATGTAATGGACTTGTAAGGGCCTGAAGCAGTACAGGAAACATAACATTGGCAATGGAGCTCAGAATGCTGCCACATGACTTAGATGACAAGGAGCTAAAGGCCATGTCCCCGTCCAGTTCCCCATTAGCAGCAGGGCGTACACTGTTAGAAATACAGGTTCTGTGCAGGTACGTTTTTTGTTCATCAAGGTACAAACCATGTAAATGTTCCCTCAAAGGTACAACAGGGGTTTTAAGGTCCAATTGTGAACCTTAAATACATTTTCCCAGGTAAAAAGTATATTTGTACCTTTTCATAACCAAATGTTTTAAAACAGAGCAATAAAACAAAAAAAGTCTGGAGACGAGACGGGGTGTGTGGAGTCAACACAACTTAGAAAATATGATTTCAGTGGATTATGGTACAATTATGTTCCTTGACTAAAGGTACTGAGCTGCACCCTTGAGGGTCCCCCCCAGTGACAAGAGGGGCACTGCCCCAATGACAGTTCCGTACCTTTTTTCTGAGTGTGGAACCACCAACGAGCCCTGAAACTGAAAACTACTATATGAGGAAAGGAGTGGGTGGACCATGTGGTTGTGACTAAGAAGTTATCTTCCTGAAACACTATCCTTACATGACAACGTGTAGCGTGAGTATAAATTTGTGCTGGAAAGACAACAAGAGAAAGGTGGAGAGAAAAGAAAGGCAGACAGAGTATGTATTGTTATACTCTTTGACCATGTCTATATGTGACACTCGCTTTTGTGGCAGTGTTGACGTCTGTGCTGATACTCGCGCTAATATGCTGTTTTGTACACAGTGAGTTCCAGGTTGATGAAACACACTGTTCTGATACACAACATTACACAGTCGCTGTTTTGGCCTAATACACATCAAATACTGAAGTCACTCTTTGAGTATTTGTTACATTTCATCATGGGAAGACAAATTATACATAATATATAAGCTAATGTTAATTTTCTTTGTGAGTTCAGACCATCCCTTCAGCATGTGGTGGTAGTGTGAGGGAAGACTGATTGAGGGAGGGGAGAGAACTGAGGAACAGAGAGGAGATGGGGTGGTGGTGGGGATTGCGAACACTTCGTCACTGGAACAGAAGGTGAGGGCGTGAATTTATATTGTGTTAGATTGGGAGAAGGAGGGGTTTCAGCCATTTTCTTCCCCCCCAAACTTCAGTTATACCCTAACTACATATAATATACAGGCTGACAGGTTAATGTTTTAACATGACTGTACAATGTGACAGTTTTGAAAGCAAGTTTATTATAGTTTGCTACTACAAAACACGAGTGCCTTAACATGGGTGCAATACCAACAAGGCATTGTTTAGGAAGTGTCTGAGAAGGCAGAGATAGCGTGGCCAGCTCTGGCACAAACTTTTTGCCAAGAGGCTATCTACTATGTACCAAAAATACTCAAAAAAGAATGAAAATATATCTCTCTGATTGAGTAACATGTTGGAAGATCATCCACTGAGAAGGAAGACCATGTACATATGACGAGTCCTCATCAGCAGCCAATATTGTACTGGTTAGCGTTAGCTCATTAGCTCCTCTGAAGATGTAGCTCCTGTGACGCATCCAACGTAAAAACCTGCCGATTTCTTTCAGCTATTTTTGAAAAATCAAATAAGTTTTCAAATTTTAACCTCATCTAAAAAGTAAGCCTACAGCGCTATACTCCATTTTTGTTTCCCTTTCTTACAGTTAACCACATTTCCATTCATTAACTCTTACGCATACTCGAATATCAAAATTAGCGCATGTCCCTATTTGATACATGCTTCATTTATGTAAGCTACAGGTAAATTAGGTTTTATGAAGCTGGAATTTTCTAGCAAAATGTCTGTCAAAGTTAAGCTAAGCTAACTTTGACTTTATGCAACTGTACCATATGGCAGAACATTTTTTGCCATTGCAAACCCTATTTTGGCATTAAAAAAGTCACTGTGATGATGTACTAGGTGCAATGGCTCTTTAGCAGCCTAGATCAAAGAAGCAGTCACAGCTCTTATGCACTTTTGTCTTATTGCATATGCATCTATAGGATATCCTTCTCAAAGTGCAAAATACTGGGAGGGTATTATTATAATAAAGCACCTACACTGATTGACCGAGGCTGATATTAAAAACTAACTGTGTGCTGTTTAATGCCTGTCTTTTTCAACCACTTTGTATTAACAGTATTTAAACTATTTGAACTATTTTAAATGTCTGCCATCTCACATTACTCTAAATATGAATCCTAGGACCAATTCGTTTTAATACAACAATGTTTTAAACTGCTGTTTTGTTATACTTTGGCTGTGTTTTACAACACTCATTACAGTGTCTTAAAAGCAGGTTTTATCTGAATAAAGATTCAGGAGTTTTCTTTTTCTAAATTATATAATTTCTGTATTAATAAAGCGACTCATTTCACAGCCTTTGATGGACTGCACATAGCTAACCACAAGTTCGAAATCATACAGTTCCCAAACAAACAGATGCACACAGTGAAATTGAAGAGGGATTTTATAATATTGCATGGAAGTTCAGCTCATCTCTCCAGGCAAAAAATGAACAGAAACTCAAAATAATTACAGATTTCTTTCCAACTTTCGACTTACTAAATCAAAATCTTGAGAAAAGAAATCATTATTGCGCCCTAGTGAGTCAGGAGGGTATGTTGTGCTGGTCATATGCTAATTTCAATGTTGTGCCTGTGTTCATTTGCATGGAAAATTTTAGAAGATAACCTGCTAAATTGGCCACCTCCACCAGCACAGTGTGGGTAAAGAGCACCTCTTTTAGTAAATCTGCCCCCAGTTCTTTACTCTTGGGTAATATTTTGAAAATTAAGTTGGTTGGCTAAATGTTCACTGAGAATTCTGAAATATTGTTGTTGTCAGCAGTGTTCACATATAAAATACTAAAAATAGCTGCTCTTAGTCTTATCTTTCTGCATATATACACACTTGCAACAATCACTTGGGTGTTATTTACAGTGTATCTGTGAGCAGAACAAACATGCACAGTTGGAAAGGTTGCTAAGTATAAACTGTGCCCTCTTGTGTTATGTGAAGTGTGGACTATGCAGAAGCAGGTCTCCACTTTCTCTTTCTGAAGTCTTCTCAGTGATATGAGTAAACAGAAGGCTGAACGGTGTGTATTCAAAGCATGCAGAGGTCATCAGTAGGACGTGGTGTTTCTCAAAATGACCATTCCTTTTGACTTTTGGGCTTCCTGCATTACTCAGGTTTTATCCATACAATCTCTTACTCATGTAACTACTTGGTAGCAAAGCAAGGAAGGGTTGGAGTGAGTATCCTATGTGACTCACTGTAAATGCTGGCATTGTTCATCTCACAGACTGAACAGCAAACTGCTTGCATTTTACCGTCTTCTAGTTTTGTCTAACATGGTTTTGCAGTATTTAAAAATAATGAACAAATTGATTTAAGCCTTGTCGTATCCTGATGG